CCTAAGGCTCGCCCAAGTTCATCAAAGTTCAATATGCTCAAAAAATAAAAGTTTACAAATAGACCTTTTTTTTAGAGCATAATGAACCATATTTTTGCTATTACCAATCCAAATTCTTAAGAAGCGGATTTTGGGCCACGCTATTACATATGGAATCTTGAGTGGATTCAACTTTCCAAAAATACCTTTTTTGAAAAATTAAATTTATTGTAGAAAACAAAAACTAAGTTATAAACTATTTTCGTGTTTATTAGTTTTTATAAATCGTTATAAAGTTACACATTTAGAAAATATCTATTTTTAGATGATTTTTTTTTCAATTTATAAATTTCTTACACAAAATGCATTAAGCTGAAATATGACATGTGGTATAACTGTTCGTGTTCTTCATCTTTCATCATCTGCCGCTGCGTAAAGGTTCGATAGTAATCTTAATTATAAGTTCTCTAAATATTCAACAATTTCGGTTTGCTAAGCTAATCAAAACGATGTTCTCATAAATATTTGCATTCACAACAAACACGACATTCATCTTTGGAGGAATTTACAATTATTGTTTGCCATGAAAGGCGTTTACTAGCCTGTTTGTGTTTGCATTCTGTCACAGGCGTATCTTGTATATACATACAGGTTAATACATGCATATATATTATTTACAAGCAGCTAACTGCTCACTTAAATTGATCACCTGTTCCGTGAGAACACTTATCTGCTCTTCGTAATTAACACGTGTCGTTGCCTAATAAAATTAAGTTATGATTATTTTTAGTAGTGCGAGTTATGCATGAAGGTTCTTACCAAGTCTTCCTCTAACATTTGTAATGCCTGATTTATGCTTCCCATTTGTTCATCTTTTGCTTTTAACTCATGTGTTGCATTTTCCAAACAGATTTGGAAATGTTCTACTTCTATTTCATACGAGGAAATACGAGATTCAGCCAAATACTTTGCTTTCAGGAGATCTTCGAATTTTTGGCTAAATGTGTTATAAATAAGTAGTTCTTTCGTAGGCGGCACTATTGGTTCTTTAATCGACTCCCGTACGCTGTAAGAATGAACATAAAAACAAGTTCAATACCCAGGAATTTTTTTAATATCAAATAAAAATTTATGATTCGAAAGAGTTTTACTATATAGAAGTTATTATAAAATACTACCTGGCATTTTTTTTTTCAAATACCTTTTGTCGTCCACTGAAATGGGCTTCACCACTAAACCAGCTGCTGTACTGCTACAGCTGCAGTTCTTATACTCCGCTACAGCAGCATCCATAGCAGCGGCTGACACGGTTGTTGATGCATTATCTTTTAATTCGATTCCATTTCCGTCAATCATAATAACTGTTTGTTTTAATTTCGCCATTTCGTATTGTGTACGCCAGTGAACCATTTCTTTTTCTAGACAAGAAATACGTTCATCGGCTGTTGCGACAGCATGTGCGTTGGCTGTAGACAGTGCGGAGGGATGATGATGATGTGGGGTAGCAACATGTAAAGGGGTGTGATCACTACCCGAAACGCTAAGGGCATCCTCACTGCCCAGCTACAAGCAAAAGAAAACGAAATTATAGGTATTCAAATTATTAAAGTAATCTCGTAAAAGTGGGCTAAAGCTGCTTTTCACATACAGTGCCGGACAAAAGTATTTGCACAGAAAATTTTTCGCAATGCATGCAACGTTTTTTATTCTAATTGCTTATTGATGTTTTTTATTTAAAAATATAGTTCATAGTACAACAAAATTCATTAAATTTCCGTACTAATTTACAACTTTCAAATTAGATTTTTTAGATTTTTTTAGATTTTTAATACTAGGTATGCACTTTTAAGCCCATTCAATTTTAGCATAACAAATTTCAGGTTTGAAGTTGCTAAAAAAATGGCAATGCTGTTTGACAATTTTTTTCCTGACGGTATTTCTCCCATACAAAAAAAAAATTGTCGAACATACTTTGTATGGGAGAGTAGTCGGACAGTTGCTAACTTAGAGATAGTGAACAAGGGGCATCATTTCAGCAATGGAAAAACATGCTCAACTTGAGGTCATTAAGCTTTCGATAAAGTTAATCTTAATATTTTGTTTTATAATCTTGGTAAATTCGGCATCACTAGCTCACTACTTAAATCCTCTAGAAACTTTCTGTCTAATGGGAAGTTGGTGGTAAGAATCTTCTTCCTCTTCTTATTTTACTTTATTGGCGCTATAACCGATTTTGGTGGGCCCAAAACAGCACGCCAGTCGTTTACTTCAGTGCCAACTTACGCCTATTGAAAATGCCAAGTGAAACCAAGTCCTTCTGCACCTGGTCTTTCCAACGCAGAGGAGGCCTTTCTCTTCTTATTTTACCAGCAGAGAAAGATTCTGCGAAAAATTTACGGGCCATATTATAAATAGAGTCCGACCGATTAATCGGCCGATGCCGAGGCTAGTATCGGCCAAAAGAATCGGTTTCGGCCATTTTTGGCTGATTCTTGAACAAGTTAATGTTATTAATGGTGATTTCGTTTCTACCAAAAACGGTTGCCTTAGCACGGTGCACAATGTCTTTGCTGTTACACTCAACCCTCTCAAAGGGCATGTTTTTGCCCTCTAGTCCTTGTCCAGCTAACGCATTTCATAATATTATCGTTTTAAGCAGAAAATGTGCCTATTTTGCTTTACAAGAGTGTGACATTTTAAGAAACGAACACACATTTTTCTCACCGAATGCCCTTGTTTTACCAAAATGCAAAATTTTTTGGTAGAAAAGAAAACACCATTAATTATTTGATTATGTTTTTCTTTTATTATAAAAATTATAAAAGCATTTGTTCTTGAAATGAAAGAACCGCCCGATTAAATTCTGAATACAAATTAATTTCAAGAACAAATCCTTTCATAAACTTGTATAATAACAAAAGAATAACATAATAAAAAAACTAAATAACATTACCTTATTCAAGAATCGGGGTCAAAAACGGCCGACGCCGATTCTTTTGGCCAATACTAGCACCGGCATCGGCCAATTAATCGGTCGGACTCTAATTATAAATGCAACTTCGGGCTTACTGCAAGAGGCTAATGTTGGTCCTCTTGCTACTCTAGCTCTTCTTAAATGACTCATCCACGGTTCAAGTGGTTACGGTGCGTAGATTTTGCTGATAGTGTAAAACTTTTTAAACTTTTAAAAGACAATACGGACTATCAAAACTTTCAACGTGACTTAGATGCGATAAAAGAATAGTGCAGGTTGGAGGCTTAAAAGCCCGATCTGGCTGGTTTAAACTAAGATCAGCCAATCAAATGTCAGCCAGCTGTTCAAATTAAACTCAGTTTTCTTAATTTAAGTTTAAACTGGCACTGAAAAACTGGCCCTTAGGGATCATCTTTGATAGCAAACTAACATTCTCACATGTTGACTAAATTGTTAACAAAGCATATTTAATTTTTGGGTTTATAAAACGCGCTCAATGAAATGTACTATCCTAATAGTAGCCCTACTGGAACATCCGATTTCGCTTTAAGGTATGCCGCCTTACTAATCAAGAAGGGCATTGCTGAGACTGGGAGCACTGTCGGACAGGAAATTCTTCTTGTCTATTATGTTTGCATTTGCTTTACCTACTCTACAATTATGAACGTAGTTTTAAGCTTTTAATTTAGGCTACATACAAGCTTACCATACTAACTGCATCGACCAACTTAGCTTCAAGTTCCGAATTTCTTTTTTCTAGCGTTTCCATTTCACGACGTAATCGTTTTTCTGTCTCTGTGAATTCAGCAACACGCTTATCTAGCATTTGTTCCAAACTGGCAATGCGTTCGGTATGAATTTGCAGATCTCGCTCTTTGTCATCAATCTTAAATTAAAAAGGGGACTTTAAAGCTTATGTACAATAAAAATTCATTATCCCAAACCATTGTGGTTAGTTCTGCGTTTTCCATTATTTTCTTTTGAAGTTCTTCGAAAATCAGAGCATCCTGTGCCAAGTCTCCAACAGCTCCAGTAACTCTTCCTTCTGCTGACTGCAATGGTTCGCCCTTACTAGCTTTATCGCGTTTATTGCGCCCCTCATGCGTTGCGATTTCATCTTGCAAAACTGCTACTCTATGTTCTAACTGCCTGTTTCGAAAACCCAAAGAGTCCACTTCTTGCTCCGCCCGTCGAAGTGACGTTTCACTATGCCGCAATTGTTCCCGTAAGCCGTCTCCCTTTGACTGTTCATCTAAAACCGCTTTTCTGAGTACACTAGCACGCGCTCGTAGCTTCAAAGAAATAATAATGTTATTGTATTGTGTTGATCATCCTGCAAAATGTTCAAGGGGCGTACTTTTGAGTATTCGCTAGCCAACTTTTGATATTTGGCTTCTGGTGTTGCCGTCAATTCTAATCTGTCTTCCATTCCGCTGAACATTGTTAATCTCCCAGTGATAGCAATTCACTTTCTTCTCATTATTTTTCATGTATGTATTTATATTTAAATTATTTCCATTAGTATATCTAAATCTTCGGAATTTCCAGGAATTTCTATCAATTTTATTTTTGAAACTTGCTTTGTCCTTTATTTCAGGTGAAATTCCATTTCACGAGGTTGTCGTAGGATTAAATTTATAAATAATTATATACTTAACAATCTCCGACAGAGAATACGAACATATTTCACATTTTATTCGCTAGTTTTTATGCCTTATTTTTTTTTTTAATTAATTCAGGTTGCTTAACCAAGGCGAATTTAAATTGCTTACACGGACACTACTTTATTGTGAATGAGTCACGGCAAAACAGAGAACGTATATTTTCTGAGGTGGCGTTACTGGCGAATCTATATTTTCGCCGCGGTAATTCTGAATGTCAAAATGATGTGTTTGTTGTATATGAATTCGCTTTGTTTACAACAAACACATCATTTTGACAATGGTGATACCGCGGCGAAAATCGAAATTCGCCTTAAACACCACCTTGTATAAATTCGCCTTGATTTACACGTTTGACGTTTATTTGCAGAATTGACATTTGTTTTCTCGAAGCCGCTTTTGTACGATCGTAAACAAATAAATTTTTCATTAAATATTTGATATTTATTTAAACCATTAAATATGTCGGCGGGGTCAGTAGATTTAAGTTCATATCGAGATCAACACTTCAAGGTAAACTTTTGAAATAAAATTTTGTTTAACTTGCGGGTTATAATCTTCGCAAACTTTCAGGGCTCGCGCACGGATCAAGAGCGCTCGCTGCGTGAATCTTGCACATTATATGTGGGAAATCTTTCATTTTATACAACAGAGGAGCAAATTCATGAATTATTTTCACGTTGCGGAGAAGTACGTCGTATTGTAATGGGTTTAGATAAATACAAGAAAACTCCTTGTGGATTTTGTTTTGTCGAATACTATATGCGGACTGATGCAGAAATGGCAATGAGGTAAGGAAGGTAAATGCAACTAAAACGCATTGTTACCAACGTTTTCGCATTAGATACGTCAACGGAACTCGATTAGATGATCGCCTCATCCGTGTTGACTGGGATGCTGGCTTTATAGAAGGACGGCAGTATGGTCGTGGCAAAACTGGTGGCCAAGTACGCGACGAATATCGGACAGACTACGATGCCGGCCGAGGAGGTTATGGAAAGTTGCTGCAGCAAAAAATTGCGCCAAATACAGACAATCGTTGAATTCGTTTTTTTTTTTTTTTTTAATCATAGCTTAGAGTTTATACATAAATATAAAACATGAAAACAAAACCTTATAACTCGGTTCTACGTCCGCCCAAATATGGCCCCTTTTTTAGTTTTTTATATTGTTTCTATAATTTCTTTGGGGCTTGTTTTCCAGATGCTTCATAGTAGGGATTCACATAGTTAGACGTACGTCGATCTTCATTTATTTCTTGAAGCAAAAGATCCATCAATGTTATTGTCGTTTCATCAACCAGATGCGTCAGAGAGTTCACAAATTCGTTGCACCAAGTCAGCGTTGATTTCCAAAGTGATATATTCTTGCCAAATATCCGGCGACTTATTTCTGGAAAATGTAGCAAACTTTCAGCGGCAATGCAGCAATTTTCCAAAGTGAATGTGACGGCATCTTGTAGTTCACTACTCTGGGGAAATCCCTCGCGTGACACGTTGTAACCATTGGAAGTCAGTGTGGCATTCTTCTCTGTTATTACCTGTTCGACATTATACTACCGTCATTGTACTAGTTAAACATTTTAAACTTTAGCAATTAATACTTCAAATATTTTCCTATAGGCTATTTGTAATAGTACTTACAAACACTAGCTGTTAATAACGAATTGTTTGCGCCAACCTCTTTACTTTCGCTATTCTCTATAGGTTTCCTAGAATCCTCATTTCCTCTGATCAGCAGGGAGAATAACCATACAACACCAAGAAACTTATACGTCAAATACATTATTCCCGAAATTTTTAATTTTTTTGTTAACACTCAGCTGTATCGTGTGCTTAATGGCAGGGAATCACAGCCATGGATAACTAGATACAAGGCGAATTTATATAAGGTGATTTTGTGTATGTGTTTCGCCGCACGGCTTCTGATATCAAATTGAAAAATTTTGTTTGAATTTCTACACACATTCTTACAGATTTTGACAGTTTATACCGCCTAAGCAAAAACAAAATACATGTAAATTATTGTTTTTGTACTCCTGCTATCACCTTATATTAATTCGCCTTGGTTTGAATTTTTTATAACATTCTCCAGTAGAGCCACTGTGACGAAAACATGTATGGGCATTTAAAAAGAAATTTATGGAGAAACTTTTGATTAAACACCACGAACAAAAGTTGCAATATTCTTCATATCTATTTTATTTTTCACTGTTTATATTGCCAGGAAAATCGCATTTAGTTACAAATATCTACTGTTTTATAGTAATATTAAAAAATGTGGGAAGAAAAAATCCACTGAATTCAATGTGATGCATTTTCCACACATCTCGTGGTAGCTCGCCACTTCGCGTGTCAGCTGTTTATCCGCCCAGGGATTGACAGTGCTGCCAAGTACGAAAACGAGTTCCTGGGCGCGCTTTCAGAAAAAATGAGAGTTTCATATCTAGTTATCCATGTCACAGCTGATACAAGGCGAATTTATACAAGGTGGTGTTGATGGCGAATTAAATTTTCACCGCGGTACTACTGAATGTCAAAATGATGTGTTTGTTGTAAACAAGGCGAATTCATTTTACAACAAACACATCCTTTTGACATTAAGAAGTACCTCGGCGAAAATCTTAATTCGCCATCAACACCATGTATAAATTCGCCTTGGTTCTTTCCCGTACGCAACGCGGGATCCCGCGGGTGCCCAAAATAGCCCAGCAAGCATTCCCGTACTCAACAGTATGAATTCGCCTTGTTTACACAAACACATTATTTTGACATTAGGAAGTACCGCGGCGAAAATCTACTTTACTTTTTCGTTATTTCGCTCTCTGTGAGCGTAATTCTTTCAATTTTCTCATTCTTCTTCTTCCTGATAATTATCTGCTAGAAAAGAAAAGAAACAAAGCCTTTGTTTCACTGGAAAACGAGCGAAAAGAAAACAACGAAAACCAAAAGAAGCCAAAATTATTGCCAGCCACTTTAAACGCACAATCAAACAGCGCAAATAACGTAAATTAAAAGAGAAGGCACGCCTCTGTTGCGCACTTCCGCCACAATTATAACGAGTTGTCTCTTCTCCTTATCTACGTTCTTTGGCAAGACTCATATAAAATCATGTAGCGAACTTAGCTGTCAAAGCGAAACTCTGAAGCAAAGCGAAGGAAAAGACGTATGTAAACAGCCCTTTAGTATCGGGTTTTGATACGAGTATTGGTTTTTCGATACCCACTCAGTACTTGGTAGTGTAGATTTACCCTGGTATTCAGTAATTCAGTCTCATCTCAAGTTACTAAATTTGAGATTAGCAATTAGTGACTACTTTTGTGACTTGAGACGATTGGGATATTCAGAAGGAGAGAGTCACAAAAAGTTCACCAAAAATGTGTGGTGAAAGCAAACACAGACAATCAACTGATAGTGTTTATGTATGCCTTTTGGCCGCGCCGCTCAAATAGTCGCAATGGCCGAGTGGTCAAAGCATTAGGCTGGCAGCCGAGGGGGTCCGGGTTCAAGTCCTCCTAGGCCGTAGAGGATTTTTTATTTTTTTTATATACTATTTTTTTATTAGTTTTAATTTTTTTAACAATCTTTAGATTTTAATGTTTTAAAAACAAAAAAATTAAATTGTTTTCAATACATTTGTATGATATTAAAGCATTTTGGTTTATTTCCTAATGAAGTTCTTGTGGAACAAATTTCCTCGCTTCATTTTCGCGTTTTTTTTTTTTAATGGAAATACTTACTCTATTTTTGTCACTTTTCTTGGGTTTAGTGCTTTTTCAAGTTCAAAACTTGGCAGCACGATGTAAGTATCGGTACCAAAATTACTGGTATCGATCGAAAAGTATCGAGTATGTACTTGTAACTATTTACTCGTATCGTTTCATCCGTACTAGTGCATATCTCGATCATTTTGCGCGGAGGAAAAGAGGGAAGAGAAATTTTAGACAAAAAATTTAATACAAAAACTTGAACCTTGGATTGGTTAGTGAAATAATTACAAATCCCGCGAATAAAGCTGAAAATGTTAGTTGATAACAGAGACTATCGAAAACAATACAAACGCGAACAGGTTAGGAAGAAACGTAAAGAAAAGGCTGAAAAGAAACTGGAAAAAATAATCCACTTGCAAAAATATAATAAACAAAAATCTGAAAAAAGGAAGGAAGCAAAAAATAAATTTGTCGATGATGCGTAAGTTGTACAAAAATCACGCAAGTACTTAATATAAAGGGAACTTGCGAGAATACCAACCGTTAAGTCTTGGGGGAAATCTAAAAATTCGGATCGATAGGGCGGTATAAAGCTGAAGCTCCATAGCAGGTTTTTCAGGTGTTGCGGCTTTCGAAGTCCAGGATTTCTGGCGAGCAACTCCATGACCATAATGAAATAATGGGTAGGTTCAGAAGGCACAGCAGTTGAGTCCAACCGTTACTAACAAAATAAGTGATCTTTATTCGTCTTCTGAACGGCTTGATGCATTAGCTGTCAAATTCAACTCTCAAGGGTACACACCAACATGTTGTCTCAAATGATCAGAAAAATATAACGATCATCTAACACGCAGTTGATCAGAAGTATACAACAACGCGATCAGAAGGTGCAATCGCAACAGTTACTGAGCTGTTGCGCCTTCTGAAAGTGCCCTATTACCCAGAAATAGTCCAAAGTTGTCAGATTTAAGGACTGACTATAATATGAATAAGCAAGCGTATGCAAACGTGCGAATACACATAAATCCTATTCTGAAACTATAGCCCACCGTCTCCACCTACTACAGATTCGGTTAAAAAAAGCTGTGGTAAGAGAGAAATGTCAGTTGGAGACCGCAAATTTCTACTGTTAAACCATGATTCAATAATACAAGGTTAGATAATTATTGACAGCTGCGGTTTGACACTCCCTTACAAAAGGTTGCATTTACGGAGGACAGAGAAAGGGCAAGAATGCAATCCCTTGTTTCGAAAATGGTAGTAGAAAAGTACGCAAAGTAGGCAATTAGTAGTGAAATTCCTTTTGTAAATTCTAAAGTATTTGCAGGAAATCTGGCATTTTAAACGAAATGTTGAACGTAATATTGATATATCTACGTGAATTACGTAATTTATATGCTATTTAGCCGTATAAAAACTGCAAAATGACTCAAAATTTAAATAAGACTACTATGAGACTGATGTAAACATCCAATGCATATGTTTTCATCAGTTAAATATGCTTCATATGCATATACAAATAAAGACATTGCACAAAAGCTTATACTTTTATTTCACACCAAAGCTACACTGTTTCCATGTAAAATTGCAAAGAAGCAACACGGTGCCACTGCTAAGGGAGCGGTGCGAGAGAGACAACTGTCAGTTTATCGAACCTTGTATTATTGAATCATGCTGTTAAACCATATCTGTCTTGTCGAATTTCTTACCATCGCTGTCTTAACATCAGCTTTCATTTTGATGTTAAAAAGACACATTAACAAGTCTATTCTGCACGTTACCGAAGATTTTGTAACCGGAAAATTTTATTACCAAAAAATGTTACCAGTTCTTGTCACCGCGATTCTAGGAACGTTGGTAATGCAGTTAAAGTATTCAGCAATTCAGCTATGAAGAATTGTGCAAATTCTGGCTTTGCATATTTCACGGGGTAATACTTTGTTACCAGCTTATGAGATGGTAAAAAAATTTACCGGTTACAAGAATACACAGAATGCGAAAAGGGTTTAAAAATTGACAGGAAATTTATTTACCGGTTACAAACTTTTTATTACCAGCGCAGAATAGACCTGTTACAGGTCTTCGGTAACGTGCGGAATAGACCTGTTACGGGTCCTGTAAATTTTTGAATCCTTTTCGCATTCTCTCTACTCTCGTAACCGGTAAATTTTGTTACCATCTCATAAGTTGGTAACAAAGTATTGCCCCGTGAAATATGCAATACCAGAATCTGCACAATTCTTCATAGCTGAATTGCTGAATATTTTAACTGCATTACCAACGAACCTATAATCGCGGTGACAAGAACTGGTAACATTTTTTGGTAATAAAAATTTCCGGTTACAAAATCTTCGGTAACGTGCAGAATCGACCTGTTAGTAGAAAATGGAGACGGGGGCTCACATCAGGGGGAATACTCTGTAATGCGATGCGAAAGAGAAATGCGATGCGGTAGACAAATACCATTGTGCATTTGAAAAATGTTCTTCTGCCCGGAAACCGCCTGAAAAATACATAGAAATATCCTGTAAAAACGTAGAAATAACCTGTCAAAATGTTAGACAGGGTGTTTAAAGGGATGTAGTTATTAAAATAATCTTAAAAATTTGCAAAATATTTTGGAAAGAATAGGTGCAATCCCGTATTCCTCGGACTCTGACTAGTAAAACTGTCAAAAAATAAAAACTCGCTCAGAGCGAGAGAGTAACATTGAAAAGTACGGGATCGCTTTCTAGTAAAAAATGGTAACTTCTGTCAACTTCGACAAAACCTCCAAATTTTGGTTGTAAATTTTTGCTTATTTTGTATGTAAACACACTCAGCTCAGACATGTAAATAACCAAAAATACTTTAAAATTCAAACAAGTAATTAAATACTTTTCAACATGAATTAGCAGAGTGCACTTTTCTTTTGTTTACTATTTGGTTGCCAAACACACTACAGCTGATCGTTTGACACTTTTACCAGAATTTACCAGCAAAAAATTCTCGGACTAAAACTGGTAACTTCTGACAGAGAGAGAACTGAATTTACTCTCTTTTTTATCCTCTCAATAGTCGGAGAACCGAGTACGGGATCGATTTCCAGTAAAATCTGACTGATTCTGACTATTTCTGACTAGTCCGGACTCGTACGCAACTAATAATAAAAATTTGTGCAAATATCAGATTTATTCTAAAAACTTTCCACATATCGATGGTCCTCTGCATTTACGGCATACGGTTGCCAGACGTACTGATTTTATCAGTACAGTACTGATTTTTCAACTCTTGTACTGATTTTATTCATTTCTTCAATCAGTACGCTAATGTCCTGATTTTTCAAAATTTGTACTGATTTGTACTGAATTTTCAATTCAAACAAAATACTTTAGTATTTTCTTAAGGTTTTTACATAACGTTGGAACTTCCTTAAACTGTACTCTAAAAAATAAGAAGAAAATAACTTAATTATAGTTGACATGTTTTAGATAATATTTGATATGCCCAAGAAATTAATACAACAAAAAGATCAATCGTTTTATGGGCACATCGCCGAGTCGTTACGTACCAGTTGCAATAATATGATGGAGCTTAAATTATTTAAAAAGAAGGCTTAAATTTTTGGCGAGTGTTGTTAGTTATTTCGAAAGACTGTGTTTATACACGGAAACTTTTGTCAACATTCCCTTTTGGTGTTGCTCGTTTCACAAAGCACGAGCAACTCGGTGCCCCTCTCCTTTCCTCGTCGCGCTCTCTCCTACGAACGTCGAGTTGCGGCAACAGAAATCGCCGTGTGTAAATGAGCACAAAATAACTTTCAGTTTAATAACAATAAATTTCAATATTCGAATGGCCTTTGCCTATAACTTACAACTCCTTTTTCTCAATTTACTGAATTGTAAAAGAGTTTTGCATACAAGACATAGATTTAGATAGTCTTTCACAGTTTTTGCGTAGTTGAAAAATTATTTAAGCCATGAGGAAATATAGATGAGCTCCTTAAAAAGTGGTACTTTTTCACAGTATGAGAGGATCTTAAGAATAAAGTTTGTTTCCTGGCGCAAAGAGAGAAACTGGCTTCTAATTAAAATTTTTGAAAGTGCACTTCAAATTAAAAGTAATTTAGATATAGAATTCTTTGACTATTTAAACACTGAAAATGGGAATGATCTCATTATTGCTGTTCGAAAAGTCACAAATATTAAATAATTTATTGGCGCCTGTGTATAATGAAGTGTACACTCATGTTAAATTGGATAACACTTTTATTTTTAATGAACTATATTTTATTTATATACCAAAATATGGTTAAAAACAAGAACCCTGTTACTTACATTCATAATTTTGCTTTGAATGAAAATGTACTGAAAAGTACCGATTTTTTTAGCATGAAAAAGTCGAATGTACTGATTTCGCGCATAAAAAATCTGGCAACCCTATTACGGCACAACTCAAAATTTCATGTTTTTGAGTTTTATAGCGGGCTAATCACATTTTTCTGTGGCTAGTTGTTACGAATCCGGCCGGTGGGAATACGGCCAAAAATGCTTTTTCAATATTGCCTATAAATGGCAATGTCTTGATCATAAAACGGCAATACGATAACCATAGAAAAAGAAAATAAACTTATGAATGCCAAGGTCCTTCGCTTATTTGCAAATAATACCACTAATCAATACTTATTTGCGTGACTAAGGGCCGGTCCCTGTTATATGCATGGAGTCGAAGTCGTCGATAACGATGTTTAACCGCAGATTAGGGTTAACCAGACATTGAGTAACCGTCCCTTAGTTATTTGCAAAAAAAAATCATCTCAGCGTTTATGCAGCAAAGGCTACCATTTTGCAAATTGTTATTTGCAAATAATACGTGCGTATACATGTATTCAACTGAATTAAAGATTTTTTTTCTATTGATTGGTATTAAACAAATACAAACCTACAAAATAATTGTTCTTGGTCCTTCGTCCCCGTGATGCATTCACGCCTTCAATAACTAAGTTCTCACAAGTAAAATACCATAAATTCAAAATTTTTACAACCGCCCTACTTGAAAATACAGCAACCATCCATATATTTACTCTGGCTACGACCCTGACGGAACTTCTTTCTGCATAGGAGGCCTTCGGCCGCGCTAGGGATTATAACCCTTACTAGCAGGATTCGGAATTCTCCTTTCTATGGCCCGTAAAAAGGGACGGAACTATCGATCTGCATTTTTGGTTTTTCCAAAGCTAAACGGTTGGTATACTCGATGTATGCCATATATAGTGGTATTAAATATTTTTACTTTATTAACTTTAATTTTAGTGAAGATTGTAAGGAATCTGAAAAAAATCTTACACAAGATCTAACCGTAAACCCAATGCAACCTCGGTATGCATTACGCAAAAGTACATTGAATGAAGATATACTTGCAGATATGAGTCGGTAAGTATTAAATAATAATAACTATAATAACGATTTAAACATAAGTTTACAAAATATGTTCTTATTCATTTAGGCAAAACATGAATACTTCTGCGATTAAGAATAAAAAATCTACAAGTAAGTCGAATACTTTAATGAATCGATTAGAAAAAGAAATCAGATCTTTGATATAGTCATGTGAAAAAATAGGGGCACCACATTTTGGCCAGTTTTGATTGTTTAATATTTCAGTCGTTTATTTTGAAAGTGGCATAAGTCACTTCGTACCACTTGTGCTTAAATTACCGACTACTTGTAACTGAATGAATCTGTAAATCGTTCTTTTGTCATAAAATAACGACAAAACCGTCTGCCTTTGGTTGATGAAGATGAATGAATAACCGGCGCGTTCAGATACAAGTATCCGGTCATTTAAGCGCAAGAGGTACAAAGTGACTTATGCCACTTTCAAAATAAGCGGCTGATTTATTAATTTGTATTTAAGTCTAGTTAATTATATCCATAATATTTCAGCAACATATATGAAAATCCACATTTCAAACTTTATTCACAATAAAAAAAACAAAAAATTATAGGTAGTTAGGTAACTCATCAAATTCTAGTAATAACTACAACATTTATGCGACAGAATTCATGAATTCTTCATTTCATTGATTCAAAAATTGTCCCGTTTATGCATAATTGGCGAATTCGTGAAATGAAGTGTTTTTAAAAAGTGGCAGCGCACTAGCGAGAAACTAAACAGTTGGGTTGTGACTTTTTTGGCATTTTTTAAATTTGCAAAAGCCTTTGATATCAGGCAATATCTATGTTATATTTAAATTGGGTTCAAAGTACTTGAATTTCCTCTCTTTGAATTTATTTTATATTTGAACAAATCCACGTATTTTGTCCATATTTTGAATCTCAAAACATCATAACCCGGTAAACAGCTGTTTGCGAAACGTGGCGTTGCCGGCAGACAGACGGCATTCACAAGTCGAGAGTCTGTATACATAACTCTACCTGTGAATGCCGTTCAGGGCCTGCCTGTAAGCAGTTGGGTCAAGCGATTGTTTGATGAGCCTCCGTCAGTTCGTAGAGATGCCTCCTGACGTGCTTTGGCGAGGGCTCTTTTGCAATCAGCCGTCTATTTACGAGACCACGTCTGTGGCTCCCTACGAGAAACTGCATGCAAAGCATTGTGTGTTATGCTCCTTGATTCAACAGAGTTGAATTGCTGTGTATCTTCGTCCCTTGGACCACAGCTATTAATATTCCATGCCGGCCCATGAAGACGGTTATCTCTTCGATCTTGCTCTGAAGTCCGTTACGGCAGCACACAGGGGTCCCCTTAGTCACTCGTCCAATCCCTGGTGTTGCGTAGTTAGGAACATGCCCTAAAATAGCACCAGCCAAGGCAGGAGTTGCACTTGACTTATGTCACGTTACGGTATATTCTGGACTGACAAACCGAACAGATTGTCGGAGGGACTAGGTGCTGTAGTGTTCGTATGTGTCTCTATTGTTGTGTCATGTCGGGTTGTGGCGGTTTGCCGTGGAGGCGGTCCTATTTGGTCTATTGGTGCGTACGTAGGCCCGAGTAGGTGCGGATAAGACTCGACCCGTCACGGGCGTTGCATCTGACCGAGGTGGAGATTTCAAGCAATCGCCTCTAGCATACGCAGCAGGTGTATATGTCTGGCCTTGGGTTTGACTCTATGCCAGCCCTCAGCAGAAGAATACGGAGCAGATGTAGAACAACGTTCGATGGATTTCGCCGACCTAAACGGGGTTAGATCGCCGAAACAAGAGCCCTTGGTCGGGTGCAACCCGAATCATTCCGGTACGTCGAACCGGCTGTCGTGGGAATGATGGTGGTGTATTTCTGCCATGACAAACGACTTCTCATAAAAATATAATCGCCGTTCGGTGTCGACGTAAAACTGTAAGTCCCTGCCATTGATTTGACTACATCAAGGCGCGCGCCACAAATCGGAAGAGAAGCTCGGCCAAACACCAACATTCATATCGTCGCCTGGGTAAAAGATTGTCGTAAGCGCCATTTTGACGATTTTTAGTTCTAGATCCAGTTATATATTTTTAAATAAGGTCTTTCGATTGGTGTTATCAGTTTTTAGATATCTCCTCTAGTTTCCGAGATATTGACTACAATTTTTTCGATAATTTAGTAAAAATTTAGTTAGTGATGCAGTCATATTAAACTAATCGATATTTTAGAAATGGTGTTCTACTGAGTGAAAAGTTACGATAATTTAGTAGAAATTTTGATCACATTTTGTCGTATTTCATACAAAGTGGCTGCCAAATTGTGGACAAATGGTGCTTACGACAAAATTTTACCCAAGAAAATCCGTCATAAACTTAAAACTAATTAACAATAGACATTAAAAATTAAATAATTTAAGAATCTTGTGAACTAGCAACATTTTCAGAGACTTTGGAGAAAATCTATCTCCGCGTTTTTGAGAAATTGCATTCTAAATTTCAATCGCGATTTCCCACAACCTGCTGAAATTAACATACGACCATCTTTTACCCAGGCGACCATATATATGTACATATCGTCGTTTAAAGTGCAAAACCGCGTATCGGCAAAATGCAAAACCGCGTATGTGAAGTTTTAGAAATTGTTTTCTAGAGTGTAAAAGCATTCATATTTCAAAATGGTTCTCTTTTTTATAAAGCAATCGCATTTCTGGCTAGTATATTTCAGGACGAATGGATAAGGATTAAGCCAAGAGCTTGTGTAAGCAAATCCAATTTTTGGCAGCCAATGTCAGTTACGCTGTTTTGCAGAATGACGATACGCGGTTTTGTACTTTAAACGACGATATATATATATATATGTATATCGATAGGGTTCTCGGAAACGGCTCTAACGATTTTAATGATATTTTGTACACAGATAATGTTTTGGATTTTAAGGTTATATGAATAGGCACTAACTCCCAGAAGACTCGTATAAGGTTGCCGCCTATTCGAAATTAGTTACAAATTAATTAAAATATCACAATATGGGTACCAAATCAATTTTTTTTTTTTTTTCAGAAAAAAAGGTAAAATATTACTATTCATGGGTACCAAGAGAAGGTTCCTAAACAATGCTTTCTCTATATACATAATGTTAATCAACATGTAATTTCAATCGGCATTTTTTTATGTATACACAGTACATATACGCTCAAGATATGTACCATTAATTCCACTGTATTTCGGAATAGGGTTGCCACCTAAATTTTGGAGTAAGAAATTTACTTAATAGATATCGAAATAGAATTTGTTTTTCCAAAACATTTTTTAAAGCTATCCAAATTTTGAAAATTGTTTATTTAACCATTTTTTAATATTAACTATTTTTATTTTTACAAAAAATTCTTTTCTCCATATAATATACATTTTTGACCGGTTTGATTTCGAAATGAAAAGACAGGGGTAGTTTTTTTCTATATGACAATCCTAGGGCGCGAGAGCACTAAAATTCGGTTTTTAATTTTACTTTCGGGTTTTTTTCATTTTTAGGCGATATTTTTTCTCTGGGCAACCTGATGCTTCATACTATGCCGTATGAAGAAAATTTTAAGTCCATTACAGGCTTAGGCTCTTTCAAAAATTCCATTTCCCACCCTTTGTTCATAAACTTTGAAATTTTTTTGCTTCAAAATTGTATGAACTAAAAGTGTGAAGTGTATGAAATAAAGGTGAGTAGAGTAGTAAATAACAGGAGTAATTTTTTTTCTTTTTCAATTCGATATTTTGGTATTAAAAATTTAAATTATAAGTTAATTTCTAATATAAGAATAATTAATATCGTCTTAAAAGACATTTGATGAAAATTATTATTAACATTTATCTTTCCAGCTCTATAGCTCATAAACTGTTCGTCGGACAACTTTTTTTGGAGTAAATTTCATGCCTTCAAAAGCTGTACATTTGTTTTTTTTTCAATCAAATTTTAATACGGAAAAACCTTATTGAAACCGAAAAAAAATCCTGTGTTATTTATATGGAAATCGAATTTTTGAAAGAGCTAAGCCTGTAATGGCTTTAACATTTTTTTTTTATACGGCGTTTTTTTAGCATGATTTTCTAATAAGTATCAGATTTTCAGGTAGCACATACAGCCCGATTCTGTGCACTTGATAAATTGAAAATCTTTATAATTTGTCAATTTTTTGTTATTTATCAAGAGTTGGTATTCTAGCACAGAAATCAAAAGCTCTTTTCTTGATAAATTATCAAGATTGAAAATGCTATTGACAAATTGAAATTTCATGTGAAATGTATACATGTTTTATATTAATAAATTTGTTTCTAACGATTAAATACTCCATGTGCCGGCATTTGAACCTGCGACACACGGAATTATAGTCGACATCTCTACCTACTCGGCTACGGCAGTCAAAAGCTTTTTTGCTTTTAAATTCATATTTTTCATATGTGACAGTGAAATCCGTTCCATTCATGTGGAAATCAGTTCCACTAATGTTGAAATCGAAGAGCTTTTTGTTTTATAAATATTGACACAGAATGCGAAGGAAGCTTTTGCTTGATACAAATCTTGATAAAATTTCTTTACAAAAAATTTATCAAGAAAACACAGAATTCGGCGGATAGTATATATCGCCTAAAAATGAAACACCCTAGTAGGGTGCACGCGCCTGTGGGAATAGATTAGGTACTCCAGTTAAGTCTGGAACTCGCAGAACTTCGAAAACAAGTTCAATCAAAGCCAGTCGCTTCAAATCGGCAAGACCCAGAATCGATTTAGGTCCGACCTACATACTAGAGGGTTGCATAAATGGCTTTGAAAGGACAATCAAAGAATTTGCTAATTTCGCTATATGTAATTCACTTCACTTCCTCAGAGCTTTCAAATACTGTCAAATGCGGAAAATGGTGAATCAAAACTTTTGCAATAAAATCATCAAGCACTACTGCATTTGCTGTCGACTGTCAACCACTGCACACCAAGGCGGCGAATGCAGTAAAATTCTAAGTAAAGGCTTTCGAGTTTCATTTCATTTATTGTCAGGTGCATTTGCTTCATTATTGCATTTAACCAAGGCGGATACCACAATTCAAGAAGTTTTCGCTGTTATCCAATTCAAAGAATTAACGGACGATTGGAGACATGCGGTGCTTCAACTTTCTTCTCTTTATCCCATTTAGGAGCACTTGTACGTGACTGAAGATCTCCTTTGCCGCTTTTCGATATTTTCTTACCCATTTTGGAGTGTCTTCGGTTATCTGTAAATTTTAACTAAACTTACCATAGTGGAAAAAATATGTACTTTATTACAAATGAAGGCTTCAATTAACTCTTTTATCGTTTCTAGCGAAAACCCCTTTGTGCGAGGCACTCAGCTTGCTGGCCTCATGGAATCTGCAAAACCTCTGCAAGAAATTTAAAGGTAATGCTTTAGAATATGACGATTATTTAATACGAAATTCGAATTTTATTTATGATAAAACCCGCAGGACAAAAGGTTTGCACTGTGGCATTCCGATATTTGACGGATGACGACATCTGTGAACTAATTCCAAATATTGGACCCCGTGCTATATTTCGTTCGCATCTTTTGGCCTGGCGACAACAGCAAGAAATGAAAAAAGACGGCCACGTTATTTTACTAAACAGCGATCAAGTGGATACAACAATTGCCATCAAAAACGAACTTCCAGAAATAACTCCAGAAGAAGAGCACGCGATTAATATGTATGAGGACGCTAAAAAAGAGAGCGAGTTGTACGAAGATAGCGACTCCAAAACTGTATCGGTGATGTGCGAGTCAAAATGTGATTGAAAGGACGTCTTCTTCGAAAAAAAAACACTTGGTATGTAGGCGAAAATAATCGCACGCACTAACAGAAGTACATATCGTCGCCTGAGTAAAAGATTGTCGTATGTTACTATCGACAGGTGTTAGGAAATCGATGTTAAAGATTCAGGCACAATTTTTCAAAAGCTGTGCAGTCGTTTTTTGCCAAAATTTAATGCTTGAAATTTTAAACTTTTTAATCAGATTTCTTAGAATGTTGCAGTCCTTTGAATTCTAGTAAAAGCAATGCAAGTTCGGAGTTAGTCAAAAATCGCACTAATTTTTGAGAATTTGTTTTGTTGAAGGTGTTTTGCATTTTTTTTCATATAAAGTATTTTCGGCCGCTGTGGTGTAGTGGTACGCAGTGCGCGCTTTCATTCATCAGCACCCGGGTTCAAGCCCTGGTCAAAGCAACATCGCAAAAAATATAGAAAAAAAGGTTTTTTCTTAACAGCGGTCGTCCCTCGGCAGGCAATGGCAAACCTCCGAGTGTATTTCTGCCATGAAAATCAGCTTCTCATAAAAATACAATCTCCGTTCGGAGTCGGCGTAAAACTGTAGGTCCCTCCGCTTTGTGCGACAACATCAAGGCGCACGCCACAAATCGGAGAAGCTCGGCCAAACACTAACATATGTGTAAGCGCCAATTTATTATTATTATTTTTTTTTTTTGTTCGTAGGAGAGGGAAATGCTTTATGCACTGGCCGGGGGCTCTAGTCTCTATACTACCTTCCCCGAGTGTGGGACTCCCACCGAAGCGTGTTGGGCTACCCACTAAAACCCAAACTCCCACCGCCCGCGCAAGAATCCCGCATCTGGCACCGCAATTCTGCATATCTTTAGTTATATATGAAACATAAAATGAAGGATAATTAATGTCAAATGCCACCTTCTTGTACATGTTTCCAAGACACTCTTTTGTACTCAATACACTGTGTTATTTGTTACTTGAAAAAAAAATGTAATATTCTAGTTCGATCATGAATACTGTAGATCTTTTTTGAAGTGTTTAACTTTAACAATATAACTCGTAACAATTTAAACGCATAACTATTTTATAAGATAACTGAATTCAGAAATATAATTTTAAAATGTTAACGAAAATAAAGTTCGTAATAAAATTCCCTTTAAAGTTTATATATATATATTTTTCATATGTGTGTGGTACGACCATGTGGCCTTTAAGTTTTGCAAATAATAATTTTAAGGTAGAAAAATTAAATGAATAATAATTATCAAAATCAATATATTTGATCGAAAAAATAAAAATTAAGTAATAATCATTTCTTTTGAGCGAAAAAATGAAACTGTAATTACACTGGTTTACAGAATAAATATTTTATTGATGCAAGCTTTATTTAACTGGTGTGGAGTCCACTGATATATTTATGTATTGGAAATAGTACCCAAAAAGTATTAAAAATAATCCTAATCTTTTCCCCGTTTTCTACTACCGCAAAATGCATGGCCGCAATTGGCATGCAGAAAAAGTGAGGTTATGTAAGTGACATCACCTTATAGGTTCATTCCTTATCTCTTTGGACTAAAATCTGAAAAGTGTCAAAATGCCAGAGCGTAAGCAAAATGCGCTCACTAAAAGAGAATAACAGGAAAAGTAAAGGAACGCAAAAAACCAAATTTTTAGTCCAAAGAATGGCAACAACAAAACTAACGTCAAATAAAAACAGAAATGTATGTACAAAACACATTCACACAAGCACAAACACAATAAACACTTGCTATATCAATTATTTTTTGCCTCCTTCCAATTTCAATTCATTTCTTTTACTTTTTAGATTATTCTCACTTTTATCTTTAATTTCCGTTAATTTAAATTCAGTTGAGTTTGACACTTTTCAGGATTTTGCCAGAAAAAATTCTTCTGACTAAAGCGCTGGTTATACTTGCATTGTGTTGCAGCGCATAACATGAGTACTGCCACATATAGAATTTGTTTAACGAGCTTTGCAAACAAGCGATTATCCTACGCAGCGCATGACAGGGCATGGCATCTAAGTCTGGAGAATTTCGATTTTTTGCTATGTGACATTTTCAAAGAGAGATGCCACTCTCATTGCTATCATTAGTCTGTTCCAGTACCCATCAGATTTAGAGGAATTACTGAGAAGTCGTTCTTGTACATACATTGGGGCATATTTATATTCGAAACAAAGTCAATTATAAAGTTAGTTGCCGCCATTTCATTGAAAATTATGGCAAAAAGCAGCAACTAACTTTAGTGTCGACTTCATTTAAGCTATGAATAAGCATTCTTCACTTATGTTTTCCTAACTAAATGCTGGAGTAGTGGAACAGACTAACTGATCACAGTGAGCAGCTGATTCTAGAAAATTATGCGCTCTATGCCGAGTATAATTACACCACTGCTTCACATGCGCTGCTTCTCTATGCCCTGCACTAGCAATGTAAGTATAACCAGCGCCACTGCGTTATTGTATTTTGGGCTTAAATCTGACTACCTCGGACTTTTTCTGACTATTTCTGGGAGATAAGGAACGCTCCTTATATTTATTTCACCATGATTGAAAGTCTTCAGATGCAGGAGCGCGCTGCTACAGCCTCGGGACTGCTCTTTTGTAGGGGCGTTTCATTCGGGTGTCCTCAGTAGACATCCGTCCTCTCGTTTGCATCGGAGTACGAATTTCATGTATCTCGAAACCGCTTCCCACTTGTCTGCACTGGAGATCATTATCCCAATTATGTTGTTCGGAGTTATGTCTCCGTATCTTAGTTCCAACATTCTGCGCGCATTCAAGAAGTGTTCGCAGGTGAAGAATGTTGGTACACGTTATCTTCGACGTTTCCACAATGGTGACAGAGTGAAGATATTCCCGGAAATAACCATGGCCGGTGAGGAATTGCGTCAGGTAGAAATCCACTTCCCCATGCGGTCTGTTCAACCATGTTTGAAGATCGGCTATCAGGTTGTGCGTCCATCGACCCTTGGTGCTCGCGTTCCAGTTTTGTTGGCACTGCTGGATTAGTTGCTCGCGCGCCCTTGCCGCAGCAGCTGCTCGACCTATCTCGGCACTGAGATTGTAGATCTCTTTTCGCTCGTAAGCAAGTAGCTCAATTGGCATGACGCCAGAAATAACCTGAACCGCGTCCGCGGACACTGTACGGTATGCAGAAGCAATGCGTAGTGCCCCTCTGCGCTGGACCGAAGACATTTGAATCCGGTATTTTTTGACTTTCAATGCGTCGGCCCATATTTCTGCCCCGTACAGCAGCACCGACTGGACTGCTGTCATCAGAAGCTTCTTGCGGCATGGCTTCGGGTCGCCCACGTTCGCCATCAGCCGGCTTAGAGCCACCGTGCTCTGCGCAGCTTTTTCACATACTCCATGGATGTGTTCCCAGAATGTGAGTTTGCTGTCAAGCTTCACCTTTAAGCATTTTGTAGACATTATTATTTGTCAAATACCTACATATGGAGTAATTTTCGTCGTCCTATATATCCAAGCTAAAACCCGCCCGCAAATAAGGAAACATCAACACCAATCTCTTGTTTAGTATCTCTTCTTTTTTTTATTGTTATATTTGCATAAATTTCTCATTAGATGCTTTCTACTTTTTATACAAATGTACATACGTACATATGCATCAGTAGTCCCTAAAAGCTACAGATAATTTCACATGGCAATCGTAATCACTTTATTTTTTTCCAATGTTGTTGGCCAACGAACAGCTCAAACCAGTGCCATCGGGTTCAACGTTCAATTCCTTCACCTCACCATTTTCCACGACCATCGAAAATCGTTTCGAACGCAAGCCGCCCAGTGGCGGTAAATCAATAGTTAAATCCAAAGCCTTTACAAATGTAGCTGCGGGATCTGCCAGCATACGAACTTTACCGGACGTGTTGTGCTCTTTACCCCAGGCAGACATAACAAATGGATCATTTACTGAAACGCAAACAATTTCATTGATGTTTTGTTCAGATTTTAACGAATCGGCATTCGATACAAATCCAGGCAAATGGGTCTACAAAAATTCAAAAATTGCTTTAACTAGTAAAATAGTCTTATGCAGCTGTATACGTACCTTGGAGCATCCAGGTGTAAACGCACCTGGAACTGCAAAAATTATTACTTTCTTATTGGAAGTCAAATCAGCAGTATTGATCTTATTTGCCGGGGAATCTTCAAAGAGATCTACAGAAGGAAGCTTATCGCCGACCTGCGGATGTAAACCAACATACATACATACATATCATATATAATAATTAAACAGATTGGAGCTTATTCTAGAAAAATTAACACCAATGATTAACAGCAATTTCGTTGTTGTCATATGTATGGGTGCACGTAAAAATGCATTCGGTTCGATATTATCCATGATCTTGGCCACCACGCCACATTTTATAACCACACTCTTCAAATCAGTTCTCTCAACTAAAAAGGCCGTTTTCATGTTACATTTTATTACATAATAAAGTCGAGATTTCAATGCACATATCAGCAAGGTTTTCTAAAAAGATCCATTTTTTAACTTACCTTGATTGGAGCCATATTACTTGTTGACTTTGAGAATGCACGCACAAAATTCCTTGATAATTGTGGAATGACAACGGAACAGATACGCGTCTGCATTTTAAAGCTCTGTGATATGTGCATATGTGTTTCAGTCTCCGTTTTCTTTGCGTGCTACAATTCGTAGCTAAAATTTGCGTGCGGCTACTGAGCCAAAATAAATTTCTGCACTGTGGGCTAGTGATAAGCAAAATATACATCCGCACTTAAAGAATACGGACTTTTGAGCTAGAGAAAAAAGAAAAAGTGGACGTGGTGGCCCCCTTTCTGCTGAGTTTAATTGTAAACTTTTTTTTTGTTCAAATTTATAGGGGCGGCGCTAGCGGGGCCCCACCTCGTGGAATTTTCAACATTTATATTTCGGAAACTATTGAGCCGATTTTCAAGATAGGGCCACAGTTGGAAAGGTGATTGAAGGACCTTTCATTAGATATATATATATATCTAGGTATATATAATGTAAAAATATTTCGAGAAAAAGTAAAAAAACGAAACTATGGCTTTTTTTTATAAAAATGTATGTTTTTCGTAAAAAATACGTAATTAACTATATTAACAAATATTTTTATCGGAAAAAACACAAAAACGCCTTTTGGGCCAAAACGGCAACACTGAATACAAGATTGCGCCAATCAAGCTGAGAGAGCTCGATTTGACACTGCCTTAGCTCAGTAGAGCAAGAAAAACGGGAAGAAATTAATCCCTATTTGGGGGAAAAATATAAAATTTCATATTTTCTTCTAAACAAAA